CCCCAAAACCCCAAAACCCCAAAACCCCAAAACCCCAATATTTTAACCCAAATTTGAAAGATGACTGACTACATTCCCCCTAGATTTACCGAATAACTGAGCTAAGAATTTTATTTATAGGGAGTGATATCTCCTCCTGTTAATTGCAGACTCACTCCGTTAAGGTAACTATTCTCAATACATGTCTTTACCATCTTGGAGAACTCATCTGGCTGCCCAACTCTTCCTAATGGATGACTCTTATTAAATATTTCTATATTAAGTTTAAAAAGAGCTCTAGGTCAAGTCTGAGCTATAATTTAGTACAAAATTTTGAGTAATATCTATGTTTGAGATCCTGTGACTAATAACTTACCAAAAACTTCTTCACCAGAGACCGAAGTCATCTCAGTCTTGAAGAGAGAGGGTGCAATGTTGAGGACTCTAATTCCATATCTTCCCAAATCTCTAGCCATTGGTAGTGTCATTCCGTTAATGGCTCCTTTAGAACATCCATATGATACAAATCCTATAGGTCCATATGTAGCAGCAACACTTGAGACGTTGATAATGACCCCTCTTTCTTTTCTATCATTGAGAGGTTTGTTCTTTGACATGTACTTTGCAGAGTAAGCAGATGAATAAATTGTACCATTTACATTGATATCCATCAGCCTCCTATGAGACTTGAAATCAAATGAGCGATTCTTCGGAAGAATGAAATCAAACCCTGCTATCCCTGCAGAATTTATTGTAATATGAAGCTCTCCAAACTTCTCAACAGTTGTTTCAATTGCTTTCCTAACTTGCTCACTATCAGTGACGTCAGTTTTGATGAAAACAACACAATCACTTCCAAATTCCTCTTGTATCTCCTCCCCTCTTTCTTCCTGGACATCAGCTATCCCGACTTTCACCCCATGAGCCACAAGCATCTAAAATAATGCCCTCCACTTACTCTAACAGTATTGTATCCAAACCCTGATCATCCTCCTGTAACAAAAGCTACTTTTCCTTCAAGTTTCATTAATAATTATTCAAATACTCGTATCTCAGCAGGGGTTTTGGGGTTTTGGGGTTTTGGGG